ACCTCCCCCTAATAGGGCTCGAATGAGAAGGAAAGAATTGTGCGTCTGTAGGTGACAAAGGTTGTTAATAAAACCCTGGAATTAGGGCGAGATTTAAACCTATAAACTCACTACTAAGCGACCAGCTCAGTAGGCTAAAAGATCCTAATGATCCAGTTTGACGAAATACACATAATCCACAGCATACTTTGCAATGACTGAAAGTTAGGTCAGTTGAAAAGGTCACAGACAAATAGATCGAAGGTAGCCACAGACTATTGGAGTGTAAGAGTTTTTTTTCGAAGTGTAGAATAACTAGTTTAAAGAAAGACTCAGTGACTGTGATGCATCCATTAACAGAGAATAACACACAAACAGGTGGGACAGAGGTACACTTCTGAAAAGTAATATAGGCAGATGGAGGAATAGGTTGATTACTGAACATTTTGTTCATCAAATTTATACATAACACACACACATACACACGTACACGCACAAATAGGAATGAAACAGCCGTAATCTCTGAGTCGATATGGAAACTATTACTGTCAATAAAATCAAGGAGACAAGAAACAATGGAATTATTGACACAAAGTTTGAAAGTTATTTCAGAAGTAAAATTGTGCTCGAAATATGGTCATCACTGTACTCACTCACATAGTAGTGCCTATTCTTATATCCATCACACAAGAAAATTGATAAAACGAGACAAATAACTCTTTAAGAGTCATTCCGTCTCTCTCTCTCTCACACACACACACACTTAAACTACTTAAGTCTTATACAATCGTAAAGGAGTAAAAACTCCAAGTTGATAATGACTTATTGAGAACGATTGGGATGGATAATTAGCCAGTCAATTGTTTATTATTATTATTATTATTATTATTATTATTATTATTATTATTATTATCATTATTATTGTTACTATTATTATTCACCTACGAGGCTTATTATTATTATTGTTTCCTTTAATTCCTACAGGAACATAGGGCTTCAGCCGTGCGTTTCTACTGCGTTCGGTTCTCTGATAGAGTCTTCACCTGGCTCCAAGTCTGCCCACACGTTTTCATCTCCTCTTCACATCACCTCCTCCAAGTCACCCTTGCACTGACGACCAACTCGCCACTTCCCTTTCGGGTTCCACTCGAGCAGTGGCTTGTCTAGTGATGTCACTTGATGGTTTCCTCAGAGTATGGCCAATCCATCTCCATTTCTTCTTGCATATTTGTTTCACAATCGGTTCCTGCTGCGTTGGTTCGCTCATTGCCAGAGATCTCTGTTGCTGATCTTTTCTGGCTATCTGATCTTGAGTATTGAGCGAAGACAACTGTTAATGAAGGTCTGTAGTTTGTTTGAGGCTTAGTTGATATATTCTAAAAGCCATTTATCAACATAACTCTGGTCTTAAGAACTAACACCACCGATGATGATGATGATGACGAAACGAACATCTCATTTGTAGTTCCGCTGGTGTAGCTAGCAGTAAATTAAAGACTGCAGACATGTGATTTTAGAAAAATTTACAATACTACCCCACAGTAAATGTACCGCATGCCAAGAAAGATTATTTTTTCTAAATTAAATATATACACACATATTAAATAACTTCCACACATACTACTACTACTACTACTACTATTCCTACTGGTACTACATACTTTTATCTATCACAATTATGACATCTCAGCATGTAATAATTAATAATAATAGTAATAATAATTAATTGTACAGAATATTTTTTCCTTCAATATTTATATATACATATATATGTATGAAAGAGAAAACACTTATTATCGGTAAAGAATTCCCTTTTCTAACTGTTAATGATTTACTTAAGATTAAACAGTAGATAGAATTCATCACAGCATGATATACATGTATATAAGTGAGTATATTATTATTATTACTACTACTACTACTTACGTATGTATGTGGCATGTACTACTGACAGAAAATTTGTAAGTAATATCTGTGTACTGAGAGACTTTTTTTGTGCAGAGATATTGAACAGAAAAGCGATGGGGATAGGTGATGTTATAAACTAGAGAAATGCGGGGGGAGGTAAAAGAGAACAGCAATACTATCGACTGTTTCACAGCACAGAAGTTCAGCAGTTCGGAATCGCACACTTCCTATAACTAACACACAAAGAGGTAGAGCAGGAAGATAGAGAGGAGAGAGAGAAAAGAGATTTATAAGAACCATAATCAGCAAAAGTATGTACGGGTCAAAGAATAGTAGAATAGAAAACAATGAGGATTTAATGGATAAAAGAGATTACAAAGAGTGAATGCTGCTGAGTGATTGAGAACGAGTTTGAACCATATCACTAATAGTATCCAGCCATTGGTTCTTAGCACCCTAAAGTCTCCAACGAGGCACAGTCTACACTTACCCCTATGTGGCTGGCTCAAATCAACAGTTAACCACTTCATGGAATAATACCGCGTTTTAATTTGACTACTCCATAATATTTTGTAGCCCTATCTTATATCGGCTAACGCTGCTTATTGAGAAAGGCAATGGTTCTGCATGTTTAACGCATGTCCTAGTCATATCGATCTATATAGCCTCACACCCTCATCGTTTCACTTATCCTCCTTATCATATACTCTAGGCTTAGTGTTTTATACTCTTTAACATGGGAGAGAAGGAACGCAAAGACAGCAAGCCTTTTCATATCTTCAACTTTCAATAGCCATGCTTCATGTCTACAAAGGTGAACAGAACAAACTGCTAATTTTGACTATTTATTCTATGTAGTTTTGAAAATTAAACCTATGAATTCACATTGTTGCGTTGAATGTGAGTGGAAGGGCGAAAGTAACGCTTTCTTCATACACTTATTCCCCTTGATGAATTTGAATGAATGCATGAACAACGATTTGTGAAGAATAAGATAGTACTGTAATTTATTTCGTTGGCTTTCCATCAGCTGAGTACAGCTTAACGAAATCAATCGAGTTTATGTACAGAAATTTTTAAACACACTTTCAAATGTTACATAGCGTCAGTTGACAGGATACTTTACACTTCAAATAGAGTGGAACAGAAATTACACTTATATAACCTATACACAGAAGATTTAAGACGAAACAAACAATAAATGCTTGGCAACAACGCTATGGCAACTCCTTTGCACATAGTGAACTCTCCAACAGTCATAAAATAATTTATACATCACATTATGTGAAATACTTGAGACGATATGGCTTATTTATGTAAGCACTCAAATTACAATCAATGAGTCCAGGGGTTGGAATAATCCTTCTCCTCGACTTTAGTTTGAGAGGCTCACTGGGTAGTGTATCATCAGTCACCACACACATGTACACACAATACGTGTATATCTGTGAGTTCAGATATGTGAAATACTTACTTTAACTGACTGACATTAACAAAATAATGGAGTGATGATAAATTGCTTGATGCAAGCCACGTAAATAAGGTGGAGGGTATATTGGTTCTGTTATATGAAGTTACTTATTGATTGAGAATCATTTAAATTAGTTTCGACCTTCAGTTATCACAAACACTCAAAAGTGTATCCGTGGTTCAGCGGTAGAATGCTCGCCAACCACGCACGTGGTCCAGGTTCAGGGTTCAATTCCCGGTTGGCGAACTCCTAAACTTCACTTACCCGGTAGTACACCCAGTAAAGATGGAAGGTTGGGAGTGAGGCTAGCAACCTCACCCTGTGAAAAAAGAACACCACTGCTACTGAAGCTTCAAAGTTCAAACTTGAAGCCCTATGTCCTCCTCGGAACATACAGGAATGCAAAAATAAATAAAGTCTGTAGATCTATGGAGACAGAGAGGACTGTTGTCGGTTTTCTAACTAGAGTCTGTTAAACAGAGGAAACACATGACTGGGAATTTCACGTGTGGTTAAAGCTTTGAGTACACTCAGATCCTTATCTTTATGTTCGTGTGTACGTATTTACGTGTGTTAGCTTATGTTTTAACCCACCTACCTAAATTAAGTTTCAGTGGTTCAATAGTATAATCATGACCAACTGTGCCAGAGGTTCAGGCTCGATTTCCCGGCTAATTCAATTCTAAACCTCAGACTAGTTTGCTAGCCAGTAACAAGCTGGGCAAAAAAGGATAGTTGAGTATGAGGTTGGTAACTCCACCCAGTAAAATAAAACAACATAATCTCTACTGAAAATTCAAATTTTAAATCGAATTCACATCAGATTTCTGATCAGACACTTTCAAAGTTGATTTCTACTGTCGCAGTCGTTGAGACACTGACAGAAGCTGAAATAATCAAATGTTCGTTTGCAAAGATTTGATTGGTTACATAATTGAAACAATTGGAACCATTGAAATCAAACGTTTAACTAAACTAATGAATAGGATTCGCATTATTTTTTTTTGAGTGATTGAGATAACTGAAGGTCGAAAGTAATGTAAATGATTCTTAGTCAATAAGTGACCTCACAACAGAAACAATGTAACCCCCCCCCCTCCGCATCCTATTTACATGCCGTGCATCAGGTATTTTATCATCACTCCATTATTTTGTTAATGTCAGTCAGTTAGAGTGAGTATTTCACATATCTGAACTCACAGATATACACGTATTGTGTGTGCATGTGTGTGATGACTGATGATGCAGTACCCAGTGAACTTCTCAAACTGTTTATGAGTTCGTCAACCGGGAATCGAACCTGGACCACATGTATGTGGTTGACGAGCACTGAACCACCAATGCATGCAGACTTTATAGATTGCTTTAGTTTCGAACATACCTGGTTATTCTGTGTGGGATTTCTTAAAAACTGACTTTTTACTTCCATTTAACATCAAAGCCTATAAATTAATCCAGTTTACATGACTAAAATACATTCACTTATTCTTTAGACATCACACCCTCCCTCCCACTTCTTAATCAACTTTCTTAATATAAAATAACAAGGAAAATTTAATTTCCTCTCTGAAAAAAAGTATTCTTTTAAACAGATAAATCAGATAAAAGAATCACGAAGAATTATACCACCAAAATAAATTACCTAGGTAATGCATGAGCTGACAATGAAGAATCTTGTAGTTCTTTAATTTCAATATAATTTGGAGGACGAACTGATGTTGTACGCTGCTGCTGTTCATTGGCACGAGTTGTGTGATTCCGTAAACGAATTGACTTTTGAACAGGTGGTTGTGAATTGTCTGCAGACATTAGTTGACTGTCTCCAGAAGAAGTATCATTTGGTATTGTTGAGGGGTTAGAGATGGCATTATTATTATTATTATTATTATTATTGTTACTACTATTATTGGTGTTATTATACTTGACTTGAGAGCCAACAGAACTGAAACTAAACAATGGATGATGCCAGCTAAGACGTGATCCATTGCCAGTTTTATTGAAAGACATGAAATCAGATGGTTTAGGACGTAGAATAACACCATTATTATTATTACTGTTATTATTATTATTACGTAAAGTACTACTATTGCTATCAATATCATCATCATCATTATTATTACTATTATTATTAATAGGATTTAATGATTTCACGTGATCCATATTTGTACAACTTTTTGATTTTGTATTATACGCCATCATCATTTGTGAATCCAGTCGAACAGCGATTGGACGTGGAAGATTTTTAATATATGAATGCATTGATCGAATCATTGTGGCATTATTATTATTACTATTATGAATTATTGATTTTGGACAGCATTGATGACAATGACGTTGAGGTAAATGACACTGACGATGATGGTAGTAATAACCGCATACAGACGAAGAAGACGATAACAGTGATGATGTGTAATAGGGTAGATCTGAACTTGAACTAGTTGACCGACAAGCACGTTTTGCTGGCAGACAATACTGTGATGAGGATGACAAAGTTGACGATGCTGCTGCTGCTGCTGTTACTGGATGCTGTGATTGATTATTTATTCGACATACATAACATGAACAAGAACAATAACAAGTAGGACAAAAGGTGGTAAAGCTGTTACTGCTTCCGCCACCGATACCACTACTTCCACTGACGCCAATATTACTACTACTACTACACGAACAACAACAACAACAGCCACAACAATTCGATGAAGATGACAATGAAGAACACATTGTTTTCGATGCTGTACATGAAGAATGATGATGGTGATGATGATGAGCAATATCAATTTTATCCTTTGAACAAGGAAATGATGAAGAGAAGAGATTGTTGAATGTACAACTTGATGATGGTATACTATTATTCATAGTATTAGTAATAGTTGTAGTAGCAATATTATTATTATTATTACTGTTAGTGATAACATTATGATGACATGAAGTTGTTTCATTGCATTTTGATAAATTTGACATTGAATTCAATGAATAATTTGTAGTTGGAGCACTTGCAGACACTAGAAATGATAACAACGACAATAAATTAGGGTAAAATACTTTCCAAAAAGAAATTATTAATAACTTATTTTGTAATTAAATATGCTATGATATGTGATGGCTTTCAAGGGTTTGATTGATTTTGCGTTAGAGATCACGGATTGGCATCAGTTAGAGAACCACTGAAAACCAAGTTGGACAGAACACAGCTGTTTCGTTGTAGATCGAGTGAGTTCTGTGCAGAAGTGTGCTCCGTTCCGCTTTATGGTTGTGGGACACAACCATTGAAAGTCAAAGATATAAAAAGACTAGTTGTCTTCTATCGTAGGTATCTATGTTCTATCTCCCGAATTAAATGGTGTTATATGGTGGGTAATACTCAGATCAGGCGTAGTGTTAGGTAAGGAGGATAAGTGAATCGATGAGGTTGTGAAGCCATATCGATTGAGATGGTTACGACACGTGTTGGACACGGCGGACCACCGGCTTCTTCGTCGAGCAATTTTTGTTGACAGGATTAGGTTAGAAAAGAGTTAGGGGTGGTTAAACCGAAACTTGGAATCAATCTATGAAGTCTTTAACAGCTGGTTTGAGTCACGTACGGCGGTATAGACTACCTGGTTGGAGACATCGGAATGATACGTACCAATGGCTAGATAATATTGGTGATTTGGCTCCAAATCGTTCTCAATAGCTAACATGCATTCACTTTTCGTGATTTCTCCATCGTAATATTGTTTCTCCCTCAATTTTCTGCTTCTATCAATCCCTTCTGAACCTACTTTTCCCTCTATTTTCTCTGCCTCTGTGTGCTACGTGGAGTGTCAAGTTGAACTACTGCACTTCTGTGTAAAGTTCTCTAGTGAAACCAAGTCAATCAGTCTGCTTCAGGACACTTCAGCCGTGTACAGAGATCGAACTTATGATCGTCAGTTTGCGAGGCCGAAGTCAGAATTCATAGGCCATTTGGGTTCTGCTCCAGTGGCTGAATGTTCAAAACGTTTGCCTAGAAAGATGAGGGTCATGGATTCCATCTCAAGATACAGCGCGCCGCTGAAGTGTTTCCAAGTAGGATGAAACAACTATTGAGTACTGCCTCGTTCTCTAGAGAATAAATTGTTCTGATTGGTTGGAGGCTAGCCCAGGGTTAAACAAGTTTTCCAGTGAGGTTATTTCATGTTCGCAGCGTAAATTAAATCGAGATTTGAGAAATAAACACTTCTACCTCTGCAGTCAATGACTTGAAATTTTTTTCAATTTTGGTTGCTTCCTTTCAATCTGCATTGGGCTACATATCTATTGGAATGCATTCACATTTACTAGACAAAATCTATGGTTTCATATATTTTACGGAACCTCAGAAAATTAAGCCATAAATAAACGAATCAAAAACTGTTCAATCAGATCACCATCTCAAGTGCATGCATAAATCAGGACTTCACGACCAACAACAAAGAAGTCTATCTGTCCTAACATTCCTTAATTGATAGAAATGAATATAGAAATAACCTAATGGCGAACAAAATCAAGCAAGTCACCAATGAGTTGTTGTTCAGTTTCGTAGACGTAGGTAACTATCGATCAGTGTTACCTATTCAACTGTATATAATTACATAATAGTAATAACGATATTACAACATTTTAAAGTAGTATCAACTTACAGACGTGAACACAGCAAGAATTATGATCAGGATTCTAAAATTAGAAAAAGACAAGAGTAATAACGTTACTGCATGAAGTAATTCAACTGTATTTAGGAAAATCCAATAGATTGATGGATACAACTCTGTATTAAAATGAAAAGATACCAATTATTAAAACTTATAACTAAATTTAGGATTTGTAGGTCAATCCAAACAGTATTAGACACTATACTCGTTTTCATAACGCAACTATATAGCTGTCCTAGTATGATAATGGAACGTTAGCCAAAAAATAACACCTGAAAGAGAAACAGTCGCACAGTCGGATGAAATAAAACTGATACCTAAGTTATTTGACTTTATTCTGATGATAAACACCTTAATACAGTAATCTCATCTAAATTTGTATATTGAATAAAAGCTTATATCTTCTTTCTTTTCATCGCTTCACATTATGAGTGAAACACAGCCTTAAAGCTTTGAAGTCTCAGTGGCGTTGGTGTTTCTTTTTAAAAGATGGGGTTGTGTAGCCTCACGCTCATGCATTCACGCCTTCTATTTAGGCTGGCTAGCAGACTAGGTGGGAGGTTTAAGAGTGCATCGGTTAAGAATCCAATTCAGACTATGCATGTGCGATTGGCTGATTAGCATTCCACGACTATTAGGCTACCGATATAGAAGCTTATTCCAAAAGCTTTTAAATTGATCAATAAATACCATCTAAATTATAATGATAAAGAAAGAAGATAGTTATGCTTCACTATCTAATAATGGCTAACGATTAACCCCCTCTCATTAATAAATACCATGCCCAAATAGCTCAGTGGTAAGGTCTGTGACTGGAGCATCGAAATGATGTGGGTTTGAACCTCAGAGAGGAGATAACAGTTCCATCAAGGTTGAATATACACCTTGCCGATAAGCGTCAAGAAGAGTGGAACGAAGGTTCACAACTGCCTCTGACCACCTAACACAACATATGTGTGTTTACAATAACCTGACTCTCAATAATAAAATATCAGACTGAAACTATCATGATCCCATATAGGCTAATCAATCAACGCATAAAATTTACACCAATTCAAGTTATTAAATAAACTTAAGGAATCGAGATTAAACAAAAATCTTTACACTCGAAGCAAAAAGAAGGAAACTCCAACAGAATTCTATTTACTCAAAGAGAAGCACATACTACTTAAATTTAGCCTAGAATCAATCTGTAAAGCAGTCGGCAAACATCTCATCATTTCACCATTTAACCTTTTTTTATTCCTTCTATTTCGAGGGGAACATATGGCTTCAAGTGTTTGTATTTCTGAAATTTATGTTGAAGTGCTGTCGCTTTTACGTTATGGTGTTGTTAGTCTCACGCTCAATCTAGCATGTTTTCATGGCTTACAACTACTACTGAGGCTAAGCGAGGTTTAGAAGTGAGTCAGCTGGGAATTGAATCCGGAACTCTCGCGTGGCTGGCAAACATTCTACCATTTAAACCACAGATGCACTCCGAAAACCTGATCTAATTAAATGTTTAAAGGCCCTTGCAAACTAAGGAATAAATGTAAATAAATATTTCAAGTTCTACGAATTAATTCTATATTTGGTAAGTTTATCTGATATAAGACGTGCAGTGATACAGTATGAAGAAGTGAATGAAGTTCCAAGCACATTTTTATGGCCCATAATCATATCAATTGAACGAGGTCACTTCTTTCACTTAATCAATCAGGGCACCGTTGTTTCAACTGCAGGCAGTAAGCACCGATGGGGATATCAAAGCCAGGATCAGGAAAGCAAGACAGATCTTCATTATTGAGAAATCAGTGTGGAAATCTACTCCAATCAGAATGAGGAACAACGATTCAGATTTTCAACACTAATGTCAAATCAATAATTCAGAGACTAAGCGCGTCACGATTGAGCATTCCCAAAAGGCTTCCGATGTTAATCAGCAGCTGTCTTCATTCCATACTGAAGATCACATGACGAGTCAGAACGGATAAGCACCAAGGAACTCTGGGAACAAATCAACCAGAAACCTATTACCCAACAAGTATACCAACGGAAATGGAGATGGATAGGACACACTCTGAGAAGACCGTTGAGTTACACCAAACGCTCAAGTGAAACTCGAATGGGGAACAACAAGTTGGACATGGGTCCGAAGGTGACATCGAGGAGATAACAGCTACCTAAAGATGAACTGTAGAGAACAGCATAAAATGAAGATGTGCTTCTGAAGCCCTATGTTTCACTTAAAACCCAAAAAATAATAATATATATAATAAATCCTACTCTTACATTAATACTACGTATTAGTGTTTATAAAGCACACGCTACTAAGAGAATATAGAAATTTATTCCACTCTTTGTCATAGAAAAAGACAGATAGCTGCTAAGAGAGAAGTCATAAACTCTCCCTTATTTTCATCTCACTAACTAATCAACCAACTACACACACTCAAACACACACACAAGCATATGTACACTCATGTAAACTTAGAAATCATCCAGGCAAAAAGGCTATCCCAATAATCAATAATCACTCTATTTCTCTCTCTCTCTCGCTCTCTCTCCCTCACTCTATTAGCAAAGTATTTGATCCAATTCTGGAACAAATAATCATAATAATAGAGCTAATGATAACCCTGCGGTTTAATTTTGCAAACTTTTTATTCTTCAAAGTTTATAATAACAATAATGATAACTAAAAATAAAAATCCAAGGGAACTTTATCTACTACTACTAATACTAATCCTAATAATACTACTACTTCGATTGTCTGTCTCCTCCTATTGTTCGTCTACTCGTTCACTCCCCTGCTTTTTATTTATCTACCGACGTTTCAAACGAATTAGTTGTATTTAAACAAATAATAATAATAACGATAATCATATCGTTGATAGTATAAGTTTTTCAAAAGATAAACAGAGATGGGTGTGTACACACACAAATGTGTATTAAACTAATGTCGACAATAAAAACAATAACAACACGAGCAATTGCAATAGTTTTCTTTTTTTAATAATCTCATTCAAAGACAATTATTACTGCTTTTATTTTACCTTTAAACTGAATAAAATATATACAGATTAATAATTGAAATTTGATAACTAACTCATGCATAAAACAGTCGTATTCCCTAGATCAGATCATTTTTCATCTAAAGGCATGAAGAATAAGATTTACAGTGTGATTTATGACAGAGTGTTACTGAAGCTGTGAGATCGTCTAACTTAACTAGAATGTGCCTTCAAAACACGACACTATAACCAACCTGATCACTTGAATATAACACCCCACACTTAGGTAGACACAAAAGTCATATTCAACGGTAGCAACGTTTACTAGGCAAAATATACAGAGTATATCATATAAAAGTGGAAAAAAAACCTCAGGAACGTAAGCCATAAATAAACGAATAAAAAAAAACCGTCCCAGTGAGGCTAACATGTCAATGCATGGATAAATCGTGACTTCGCGTTTAACAAATAAATTTGCCTATCCTAATGCAGTGTAAAATGTGCACAAAATCTATATTTCAAGGCTTCTCTCTTCAAATCCAGACAGACAGACAGACAGAGACAATGACGTGAAACTTAATTGAAATCTCCGTCAATGAATGACTTAATAATTGTATCTCCTGACGACAACCATCGTCGCGATTAATTGTTGTTAATTTGTATCAGTATTGATCGTTTTTATTGACTTGGAATTTGACTTCATTGTCTCACATAAGTCGTTCTATAGTAATATGTCTGTTAATTGCTGATTCATCTGAAGTACTAGGGTCTCTGAGAATTCCCTGGTACCCAGTCGAATTAAAGTCCTTCGTTGTTTACATGCATTGATATCAAAAGCATATGTGTCGTGTTCTTCGATTAGGAGTCGAAGCTTGCACTGAAGAAGTCTATAAGAGGAGGGGGAACAATGAAAGCTTCACAATTAAACCACCCAAGTCAGAGAAAACAATCACCACATCGAGGACACGTTCTCTTTCTTTATAAAGGAAATATTCTACTGAGCAAAAGTTAAGCATGAAGACAGTAGTTTAATGAAGCATTACAAAGACTGTAATGTGGTTGCATAAATATTACGGCTGACATGAAGAGAAACCAGTTAGTTACAAATAAAATAAGTTTGGAAACAAGACTTGACAAGTTTTGGTAAAACACCTACAGTTAAACATTAATCACCTAATAGCATGTATGAAAAAGTAAGCATCTGGAAGTTATTCAACCAGTACTTGGTCAAAAAATAATAATAATTTCTGAAGCTGGCTAGGAAGACTACTCACATTGTAAAAGAAATGAGAAGATACGGTGTAGAAGTGCTAGAAACCTGTAACAACGGATAGAAAGAAAGTAAACTCCTCAAATGGTTAACTGCAGAATCAATAATCCACTCAGGTCATTCATGCGACAACCAGGAGCACACTGGGGGAGGGTAGCTACCATGATGTCATCTATAGCACCGACGGCTCCTATGAAGTGGAAACCAACCTCCAAGTGCAGCATCAAGACGGAAAGATTCAACTCGGGAGGCAGAAAAGTTACAATTTTCCACTGATATGCAAATCGCAACAAACAACGCAGACGTAGCGGAGAAAAAGGAAGACTTCTACAAACAATGTGTAACCAGTGCAATGGATAAGACCCGAAATGGAGACATCAAAATCTAAATAGGTGATAGGAATAAAAACCAAACTGGGATCAGGCAACACCGCTAAGAAAGATTGTGGAGAACAGGGTGAAATGACAATGTGCTGCTGGAACGATACGTTCCACTCGGAACCTAAGAGAATAATAACAGTAATAACGGTAAACTATAAAATTTACCCATTCCCAAGTAATGATCCGAGGAGCAGCAGTATATAAGTGAGATAAGCTCAAGGCTACGAGACACTGTTGCACATAACAACCCATTGTAACTTGATATATATATATATATATATATATATATATATATATATATATCAATCTAAGCTTGTTATCCTCATAATACTAATCCAAACTTAATTTGATTTTAACAAAAACAAAAAATGGAGGCCTTAATGAATTCATAATAAAAAAATGAAAGGGACTGGGGGTAGGGGTGGCTGGTGGCTAGAAGAAACAGAATTGGTAATTCAATACTTTCAAGTTAAACAAGAGGATAAGGGAAGAGGGACTTTTTTGTAGAAAAAAATAGAATGAATGGCTTATGTATGTGCGCAAAGGATAAGTCAATAAAAAGATATTTGTTTTTTCTAAAAAATGAGGAAGAAAGAATTTCCATCTCGGACTAGATCGCTCCATGGATTCTAACAAACTACATCCTCAACATATAATGTCATTATTTTAGAGCGAATTGTTCATGAATGCTGTTGGTAACAGTAGAAGCAGTTCTCAGTTCTTACTTTTGTCACAATACCTGGAAGAAAAACCAAACAAACTGAGCTATTCACTTCTACAATGATTAGCCAATAAGGAGTAAGTAACCGATGCTATGAGTCTAGTCTTTGGTGTTGGTGAAGATTGAATTCTATAAGTCAAGTTTGCAATGTGACCTCGCCATGCTTGGCGACTCATCATCACTGTGTACTCTGAACTGGTGTTAAACGGTTGAAGAACAGTTGACAGGAAGTCTTGTTTATACGTTTCGTTCTCCCTGGTACTCATCGGCAAGGTGCATTTTCAACCTTCAGAGAATTCATATTCCCCTCTCTCCACATACTACTGATAAATTTTGTCAGTAGTACATCCCACAGTAGTAGTCTGAGTAGAAATCATAAAGTTTTAATCTGTGCATATTCTCATCAATGTGACAAGCGAATATCGACTTCTCTTCAAAGCATGAAATACAAATTTGAAGAAAAAAACAGACAAGTGTAACACAACTTACAGTCATTTCATTTCCTCCATCGTCAAATTCTGACATTGTCGATTGTAGAGAAGAACAAACACTAGAACTCGGTGTAAATATATCCCGAAAGTGTACAGTACGTGAATGATGATGATAATCCTTTGAAGTACTGCCACCGCTAGCAGCACTCCTTGTCCAATCTGTATTACCAATGGTAGTGTGATTATTATTATCATTAATATTATTGTTTCGTTTTGATGATTGTATGCCAATATGAGAATGTGTTGAAGGCATTGAATAAGCATTTCTTACTTCATTAATTGTTTCTAGACAATCACAAGATAAGTCATACTGTCCAACCGGTTTCGTAGTCATCATCGACATCATTCGCATTGTTGTACTGCAGGGATCTTGTTCATTTAAACTGGATAGCTTTAATTGATCAGCGAGTAAACTGATTGAACTTGTTGGTCTTTTCATTGTTTGTTGTTGTTGTTTCATATTATTTGTAAATGTTGATGAACTATTGGTGTTGTTGTTGTTCCCGGTGTCACAAACAACAACACCACCAGGACCTCCTCCTCCAGTAGTAGTACTATTACTTCGACTTCGACAACCACTGCTTGTCATCATTCAGCTTCGTTTTTCTTTTCTTTATAACACTCTTGTGTAAGTGGAGTTTTTCTCTTCTCTTCTTCTTTTTTTCTCTCAGTGTATTTATTTTTATTATTTTTTTTCCGATGTAAAAATTTAAAAATGATACATACAGTATATCATTTTGTTTAAATAGTTGCCAGCATATTTAAATTGACCAATCACAGAGGTGCATTGAACACTTTCCAAATTTAAAACAATAATTAACAATAATAAATTCACTTCTTTTTCTACTCGCCAAACTTTAAATCTACGTGTGTTGTATTATAAGTGGTGCGGTATACTGCTGTGTGCTGATGTGTAGTAGTATTTGTATTATATGTGTATGTGTGTGTGCGTGTGTATTAGTGTGATGGTGTGCGACTGTATCTTTGATTGTAAACATGCCAAGTACACAGAGATTCTCGCATAGTTTTAACACACTGAAAAAGAAATATTGCAAACAAAAAAAAGAAACAGATTTCATTTTTATTCGAATTAAATTTGAAAATATTAACACAATTTCAATAGTGAAGGGTGGTGAATTTTGTTTGAACTGAAGGAACACATCACTACTAGCCAATCACATGACGTGTATATATAACACGTGACATAATCAGAATGCATTCTAATGAAGTAAGGATTCCAATAATCATAATATTAAGGGTGATACATATTTCACAAGATAATACCACCTTAAAGGGGCATCATGTTGTGTATGTCTGAGTGCAAATACCTGCACATCTATGCATGTCATGTGAGAGAGAGAGAGAGACTAACATTTATTTAAGCATTACCATTTGTTAGACATTTGGCTGTAAGAGATTTCATAATTTATAGTTCACCTAGGCTGCTACCATCACTGTGGCAGATGAGATTTATCAGTAGTATGTAGATGCAGATTGATACGAAATAGCTAAAAATTGAAATCAACATTTTAAGTCAACGACACCAAAGGTAGAAGTGTTTATTCCTCGAATCTGTATCTGGTTAACATTATGAACATGAAATAATCTCATTGGACAACTTCTCGTCTCTTTGTTTAACCTTGGACCAACCGCCAGCCAATCAGAACAATCTATTGTCCACTGACCCAGCCGAACTTTAATGTGGCTAAAAATGTATAAATATGGTGAGTTTTTCCTTTATAAAGGTTTGTTACCATTTTCCTTGTCTTCTGAAATCACACTGCTTCTACTACTTCTACGATTACCATTGTACCAGTAAAATGTTCTTATAGTATAGTATGTCCATTAATCCAAGAAATACAATATGGCAGCTTCGTTTCAATTTGAAGTCAGTGAGGAAATCTCTGCTGCAGTCACAGCATAAGAAATAACATTGAGTCAACGAGAGCTTCCATATATATATACCTCATAGTCTTGGAGAGAGCTCGCATAACCAAAATCACTTTCAACAAGCTACTGCTGCAAACTTCCATCAACAGCTGCTTTCGATCGATACTGAAGATCAGATGACCTGTCGGAAAGAATTACCGGTAAGGAACTCTAGCATAGCAACTAACCAACCAAGAACATATCACCTAAGACACATACGAAGGTAAATAGAGGCAGATAGGATGGAGACACGCTAAGGAGACTGTTGAATGGAATCACACGATAATAGACTGTATAGAATGAAACCCGAGTGGGAAAAACGACGAGTTGGGTTTGATGCAGACGGAGACATGGCGAACATGAAATTTTATGAGCTATCGTAGGGCCAGCTTAATAAAGACTCTACAGAGAACACGGTGAAATGGAGGTGTCCTGCTGAAACATAGGGAATAATAATAATAAATAACAACTGCTATCAACAATCCAAGTATTGGTTTGTAGGGATTTGGTTGATTGGTTGGTTACAGGATTTCAATATGAGCTGACATTGGTTAGAGAACCATTCGAAAACCAGCTGTGAGTAGTGGACAGCTGTTTCCTCAGTCCTAGCTTGGGGCTCTTTAGCAGTGGCTTAATGGTCTACGAGCTCGCCTTGTAAACAGAAGGCCCTGGGTTCGAACCCCGGTGGGTGCGTACTGCTGAAGAGATCCAAACTAGAACGAAACAGCTGTCCACTACTCCCAGCTGGTTTTCCAATGGTTCTCTAGCCAATGTCAGCTCATGATGAAATACTGTAAAAAAATGCTATCAACAATATTGTGAAAGGGACGAGCGGCGACCACCACCGACATTCATAATATTGAGAAACAAAATGTGATAGAAACTGAAAAATTCTGACTGTTATACTTCACTTAAGTTAGTTGTTTTACATTGACATTATCTTTAGTATATAAAGTTTTTCAGGAATTAAAATTGATTTGAATGTGTAACTTTTGTGATGAACCGACACCACTTGAAGACATAACAGTAGTGATATCTGACCGATGAATTGTTGAATTCCCCACTCAATTGGTTGGATGGTCGGCCAGCTGGCCTCGTGACCTTAAAGTAATGGGTTCAGTGCCTGGTGAAGCCATGAGTACGCAGTTCTTAAGAGCCCCTAACTAGGAATGAGAGAGGTTTTAACCAAAGAGGTTCACCATGTCAGCTAAGTGAAGTTAAAATTCATGGGTCATTGCATCGGGACCCGGTGGCTGAACGGTCTACAAGCTCAACTTGTAGCAAGAAGGTCATAGGTTCGAACGCTGGCGGCTGATGAGTCCCAAGCTAGGACGAAACAACTCCCCAGTATTTCTATGAGTTCCAGTGATCCTCTGACTGCTGGTGCTGGTGATCTTGACGACATCTACACTGATACTGAAGAATTACTTCATTACAATACCATAATACGCATCGATTATTATGTTTTACAACTGGTTTATCTGTGTTTTAGGATCGAACAGACTGGCATATCTCTGATATGGTGTGTTTGTGTACGCTTATGATAAAAAGCGCGATAGACAAGTAGACAGACAGAGAGAGAGAGAAAGAGAGTGAAAAGAATGTTACCATATCATGTGACTGAAACGTTCGCCAAGTGAATAACAAATACAATCAAGTGTGATAAGATTTATTTATTTTTTATTATTTTGGCAATGAGCCAAAATTATTTTTTTATTTGTATCCTTGACACATTCAAGTGAAATACTGAATATGAACAGGTCTTTTCATCACATTTCATTGTGCCTTTTCTTCTCTATCACAATTAATTACACATACTTGCTTAATTAATTCGTTAATTATTTTATATTCTTTCGTTTCGCTTTATTTGCTACAACATCTGATCAAAAATAAATAAACGCTAATGACTAAGTAAACAGAGACAACAATTGGCTTTTTTCTTTTTTCTTTCTTCTTACAATCATGACTGAGTTGGTGTATAGTATAAAATTACTATTGCAATGTTTGCCAGACAGAAATCGATTACGCCTAATGTCGATTTTGTTATGAACCGACCAGTGTTAGTTAGAGAATGATTCATTGAAAACCAAAGAGGAGACTAGACAACCGTTTCGTCCTAATTTGAGACCCAATCTTCATCAGTGAGTACCCCTATAGTCACCCTTCAGCTTATGAGGCCATCTCGTTGACTATCCAACCAATTGAGGCTAGAATTCAAACAAATAAACGAATCTGATTGGTTATATAACATCGAGATCCCTCAAGAAGTTAAGCCATAGATAGGTGAATCAAAAAGGTTGTCATATCAGTAGATGCATAAATCATGGCCTCAGAGATAACAGCAACAAAGAAGCTTGTCTGTCCTAACAACTCCCCGGGGGGATCACTAGAAGATACTACGTAAGTCTGTGTAATCTCCGTCTATGATAATAAACAATACTCTATCTGTGTAAGTAAAATGAAATGGAGAAGGATCGAACTTACACTGGAAGAAGACATCTAAGTGACACTACATGCCAAGCCTTCCCTCAAGCGGGCCGCCTCCAAGGGTAACAAAAAGAAGATTATGTGAAGAGGAGGAAATAAAAGACTGTGTGGGTAGTCGTTGGGCCAGACAGCCAAACCAGCTGAGGTAAGTGATGAATGCAAGATAAGCTATGCATCGAATACACGTTTTCTACCCCAATGTCAAAATTCTACTTCTGAGTGAATGAATTTGAAATGGAAATTCAAAGAAAGCATTTCCCAAAAGCCAAAAGAGAAAAAATAACAAGCCAAACAAACAGAATTCTTTCTCTTCTCAATCTTAATACAAACGAATGACGAAAAAGAAACAAATAAAAATTCACTAGAATGGGCATGTAGGTAGGTAATCATTTTAATACAAAAAAATAGAAAGACAGCAAAGAAGTTGGATTACTTTCGACAAGTCGATAAGGAAGAAATAAAGAGACAGATCGAAAAGGCATTCTAATCAATAAATCTCTTTTTCTTTTTTACATATGATAATAGAATGGAAAGCAATTTTAAATATTTATAATGAATACACTTGGTTGTAGTTAACTCATGACGCCAAGCTTGATATCAAATGCCTTGTTAGTAGTTATAGTTAATCAAGTGAAACAGTTAGAAGTCAGTTAACCTGGGTAAGATTTTTCATAATCCAGGCTATGAGTAACCTAACCTTTACTTATGTTAAGGTTAGTGAACCTACCCAGTTGCCGGGATTGAAAGAGGGGTGTTGTGATTTCAAGAAGGGCTACCCATTGAATTGAAGTCAAATGCTCAAGGCCACTGAGGCGAATCTCTACTCAAACGATCTTTGTAGACGATAGAATCTTAAATTTTTAAGCATAGAAAGTGTTCGCTTCCTGAGATTTGATTTGTTACAGGTTTAACCACGAGCTGAATTCAGTTGGGGAAATACGTGAAAATCAAAGAGTACTGGACAGCTTTCCATATTAGTTTGGGACCCTTCAGCAGCATGCACACACTGGGGTTCGAACCCATGACCTTCTTGCTACAAGGCGAGCTCGTAGACCATTCGACCAATGCTGAAGAGTCCCAAACTAGGATAAAACAGCCGTGCAGTACTCCTTGATTTTCCTATGGTTTTCTAACTGATGTCAGCTCGTGATCTAACCTAAATATTCTTAAATGTTTGTTTGCAGGGATTTGATTGACTACTGGTTGATGAAAACTTGAAAATTTATCTTACGCTCACTAGTGACTAGACTACTAAATGAAATTGCTTGAAGTTCCAGTAAGAAGATGGGTGTATGGGGAAAAATACCTGCTGATGACAGTAGATGGCTGTGATGCTTGCTGTATATTAAGAATTAACCGAAGTTAGAATTTTGCGGGTGAATTCGGCTGAAGTGATTGAATGGTCAACGGGACCGCGTCTTAACATGAGGTTCAAAGATTCAAGTTACATTAGTAGTTTCATGCTTGCGTGTTGTTGAAGAGGCCTAAACTAAGATCTTGAACTCGAAAAGGCAAAACGACTACCATAAGCTTGCCCTACTATCTTGATTATTAAAATGTGATATGCTGCTTTAGAAGCAATTCGAATACAAAAATAGCTATAAAAATGACGCAGGGAA